TGGTTGATGATGAATTTGCGATGAACAGTTGCATGGATGGGCATGATTGGGCGATAGTTCAACTACAGCGACCACTTATTTTCAACGATACAGTTCTACCGATTTGTCTACCTGTACCAGGACAGCCAATCCAAGAATTCCTGACAATTTTCGGCTGGGGACGATCCAATGGTATAATTCAACAACTGTTATTGTTTTCATTTACTGATTGCGCACATCAGCCTCACAATCAGCAAAATGAGCACATGAAATCGAGTCATTGAACAAATCTGACTATCGTTCATTTTCAACCACAGTGTTCTACGACAGCGGTCCGCTGCTTCGGGAGACTCCAATGAGACTGGATCGTAAATGCAGAGCGCCCTGGAGTGATGACATGCCAACGAACGTGTCCGATTATATTTGCACCAAATCACTGAGACCAGATGACTACGAATCGGCACGCACTTGTCATGTGAGCTTATTCTGTATTGCTAGGTTGCTGAACAAGTTGCAACTTCAGTTATGATGTGTAGCGATTGACGTGAAAATGAATTTTATTCATTACTTTCGTTAACATATCAACGTTTTTATAGAACATCTGATCGTCATTTTTGAAAAAAAGTGTGATGTTGGAAAATTCATGAGCAACGTTTGCCCAACGTTGCATTCAGACCGCTTCAAACAAATACTAGATTAGATCAGCTAATTCAGATAATCCGGATGGCCTAGGATTCTTGCATATTCATGAACAAATTTCCCAATTCTCAGGGTGATAGTGGGTCAGGAATGCAACAGAAGGACAGAAACGGAATTGCCACTCTGATCGGCATTACGTCGTTTGGAACAAAAGGCTGTCCACCAAACGAATTGGCCAGATTTACGCGAGTCGATCGGTACCTCTATGAAATTTGCGTTACTACTGGTGTTTGCTATTCATTCGAGTGAATATCAGAAAATGCACGTCAACATCACCCAAAGGTGTCATCAGTTCCACAATGGAATTTTTCTGCACTTCGACAATTTTTTGTCGTTCACTCTCTTGAAATGGCT